CCTTCATCATTAGCCATCGCAAAGATTTCAAATTTCCAATGGAGTCTGGAAGCCTTTGGAGCTGTTTGCACTTGTCTAACCTCAGCCGAATAAGATTTTCCAACATTCCTATTGATTCTGGCAATTCAGTAATGTTTGCATCATGCATGTCCAAAATGGTAAGAGCTGACAGGTAGCCCAATGATACTGGTACGAATTTTAGATGCTGAACTTTTCCCATCTCGAGCTTTTCTAGCATTTTCATGCCCACAAATATTTCTTCTGGAAAATTAGAAACTTTTGTGCCATCTAACTTAAGTTCAACAATTGAAACTAATGCCTCCATCGAGACAGGAAATTTGTCAAGAGAAGTACAGTCTTCAACAGACAGCTTCCTTAAATATGATAAAGCACCAATAGAAGCAGGCAATTCTTTGATTCCGCTGCCGTCCAAATACAATTGAGTCAAGGAAATTAGTTTCCCAGTAGAGTTAGGAATCACTGATAGTGACTTACACCCCGTCAAACTAAGCATCTCAAGTTTTTCCAAAGAACCAACTGAATCTGGCAATTCCTCCAATGCTGTATGGTTAAGTGATAATTCTTGCAGGGAGCAGAGTTTCCCAGTGCAGGTAGGTAACTTCTTCAGAAGGTGGCATCCATTTGCACTCAGCTTTTCAAGTTTTGTGAGATGGAAGATGGACAGAGGAAGCTCAGTAATAGAAGTGCTATCAAGAAGTAGTTGTCTTAAAGAAACCATGCAGCTCAAGTCTTTTGGTAATGTTTTCAATTTCCAGCAGTCGGAAAGAACGAGGTCCTCGAGGTGTTTCAGCCCAGAGACATCACTAGGTAGTTCTATGAGGTTATAGCAGAGGCGAAAGTTAAGATGAACTAAGGAATTTAGATTCCCTAATGATTCATGAATCCTAGTTAAGTGAGAACATTCTTCCAAATTAAGTTTTTTAAGAGACAGATACCCAGATAAGTCAGGAGTTGCTGTCAAACGGTGGCACCTGGAGAGGTTTAAAACCGTCAAGTGCACAGCCACCTGCCAAATAAATATCGTCATTGAAAAATATAAGGTAAATGTTAAAAAAAATAGAAAACACCAAGTTCTAGAACTCATTGATGACAATTTATTTTTTCAAAATAGTGAGCTCATCAGGTAATAAGAAAGCAAACCTTGTTACTTCGTTCCTTCCACAAGGTTTCAATCAGACTTTCAGAGAGATCCATGACTGCAAGTTCCAATGGATTATAGCTAGAAGGCATATACCTTAATGAACACTGTTTCCATTGTAACCACTTGAGTTTTGGGGGAAGACATATAAATTTTCCTTCCAATCTGGAATAATTAATCTGAAGCATTCTTAAGGAAACCATTGGTTGAAAGTGCTTGGACTGAAGGATAACCTCTTTTGCTTTCTCTTTTCTATCCTCTACGTACTTTTTATACCTCTCTTTAATATACTCGAATGCAGATTTACAACTGGGCTTGCGTCGAAAATTTTCCCTAGTTATTTCATCTGCTGAGCGATCTCTGGGAATGGACATTCTTCTCTTCACACAATCTAGGACAACTCCTTGAACATTTCTCGTTCCCTACACGCAGTGTTCGTTGTTAAAGTGGTCAAGAAATGAAATGGAAAATATATAATGAATTTAGTTAGAATATGGAATTCTAAAAAGATCATGATAATTGACAACTTTTTTTTAATAATTTTTCGACAACCCCACTTTATTGATATGCTTGAATTTATTTTTAAGAAAATATTTAAAACCAATCAATGACAAACCAGTCTATGCGTGATAAAAATAAAAAAACTTTTTCCTTCTAAAAACTTTAGATTTGATAGCCAATTTTTGTTGCTTGATTTTAATCTTAACAAATGTAGGAAGGTTTCTTAATATTTTACGACGTTATTTCATTTAAAAAAGATTTTTGGCATCAAAGCCTTTTATAACACGAAATCAATCATCAAGAATGAAAACATAAACAGATATTATTTTTTTAGAGAACTAATTCATAGATTTCATTAATCGTTTCTTCTTGACCTTTTCATACTTTCAATTTTTCTTCCCATGACATTACAAAAACAAACCATGCTACAATATTTACCTTCATATTCTTCAACACAGTCAAGATTTCATCACGATCCCAGAGCCTGCTTCGTAGACCAGGATCTGTAAGGCTTTCACTACGAACAATTTGCCTTCCCATGTCTCTAACTTGATCATGCATCCACACTTTTCCATCACCAATGATCTTAATTAGACATCTTGCAGTGAGCACATCCACCGCAATCTCTCCTCTAAAATCACATCCATTCAATATGTCAACCACATCATCTCTCTTCATTTCCATTTGCACCAACAAACAAGCTATGTCAAGGAATATACACTGTTTTTGTTCATCCAACGCATCAAAACTTATTTTCAGCACTTCTTGAAGACATGGAGGACGAATCTGCTTCAGCTTCTCCAAAGCATCTTTCCATTCCCTCTCGGTCCTTTTATCAAACAGAAAAGACCCAAAAACTTCCAAAGCCAAAGGCAACCCTCCTGTCTTCTCCACAATTTGCTTTGAAACATCTAAAAAACCCTCTGCAGGTTCCTTTCTTCTGATTGCATGGAAGCAGAACAGTTCCATTGCTGCAGAGAATTCCAATTCCTTCACCTCAAAATCAACATCAACATAACTCCCGTGCAAAATTTCCTTATCCCTTGTGGTTATCACTACACGACTTCCCTTGTAAAACCATTCCCTCTTACCCATCAAAAAGTTAAGCTGCTCCACATCGTCAACGTCATCTAGGATCAACAAAACTCGATTCTCTTGCACTATTTTTTGTATAGCAGAAATGCCGTCGCTGACATCGGTGATCAGATCCTCTTTTCTACCACAAAGATCACCGTGGATTTTGTTTTGAAGAGAAACCAAACCGTGGTGTTTGGAGACCTGTGATCTGACATTTGGAATGAAACTCCGTCGCTCAAAACTATGAACAACAAGGTTGTTGAAGAGGCTCTTGGCTAATGTTGTCTTACCAACTCCACCCATTCCATACAACCCCAAAACCCTTACATCGTTGGATTTTAAGTCCAACAAGTTTTTCAACACTTCAACTCTATCATCGAGACCTACTGTGAATGGAGCCACACTCAGTGGTGTGTTCCTCAGCTGCTTCATAAGATTTTGCACCAAAATCTGAATCAGTTCATCACTCTTGTCACCGTCACTAAGCAAGAAATTTAAAAACAAAATGATTAAATCACATTGTTCAAAACCATCACACACACGCTGGTAAAAAAACAAAGCAAAGCAAAAACAAAGCTCAAAGACGCGAAACATGGTATGTTTGGTTTAAGAAAAACTATCATTTTTTCATCGTAATTAACCATTATCTTTAAGCAATAATAAATAAAATTATATAAAAAATATAACACTTATTCATGAGAATATATAAGACTTAAAAACTAAGAAAAATCTCTCAAACCAAAGCGTCTCTAAAAGTAAAAGAATAATATCACATCTACTTTTTTTTACAAAATTTTAATTATATATTTTTATTTACTTATAGTATCACATTAGTAATTTCTTTTTAAATTAAAGTTATTTCTGGTTTTTCAATTGTATGGTTTAAAAACAGATTAATAAAACCCATCTAGACTTAATACACCACATGACAGAGATGCAGTAAAACCAAACATATCATGAAAGAAAGCAGAAACTGGCAAAATGATCTTATGCACACATTTCTAGCAACAGTACGTAAGAAACTACAAGCAATTAACGAAGCACGATGCTGCATGCACCTTTTCTCATCCAAAACAAAACCAGCGAGTCCACCCACTTTCTTCATCGCATCCCTCCACTGCTCAATCCTCTCTGTCGGAAACCTCTGTGCATGCCACACGAACCACTCCTCGAAGGGACCCTCTTGCTTTCGCACGTGCGAAGGGTCCACCCAGTAGAAAACCGGGAGGATCAGCCTCCCAACCTCGCAAATCTTTGCGAGCTCTTCCAGGCACCAGTGCGAGGACGCGTAATCGGGAGAGATAACGACGACGGCGGCGGCAGAGTCTTCCACGGCTTCTAGAAGCTTCTTCTGGATCTCGCCGCGGCGCTCCAACCCATCGTCGTTTCGGAAGACGCGAACGCCACGACCGTGGAGAGCGTGGTAGAGGCGCATGGTGAAGGTGTGGCCCGTGTGTGTGCCCCGGAAGCTGAGAAAGACGTCCCAGCAGAGGCGGTAAGAGGAGATGGTGACGTCACTTTCCAGCGGCATTGGATAGGAAAGTGAAGACTTTGAAGAGTCAAAGCTGAGGTTGTGGTTGAAGTAAAGTGAGGTTTAGTGAGTTGAGTTGTATGCTGCAGAATGAAGAAGGGTGAAAGACGAAGGTGGGTCCTGCATGCACATGTATACGCTGTAGGTAAACAAGTTTTCACAATGTGCAAATTTCAATTAAATTAGACCGGTTTTAACTGTTAATCATATAAGTAATTAGATATTAAATATGTTTATGTCACACTTGACTGAAACATATTCAATCTCATTATTTTTGGGTTCATCATTTTCCAAACAAATTGATTATTTTTTTTCATAATTATTTAACTCCATGAAATTTATCCATGGGTTGGTGGATGGAATTAAAAATGTTTTGTTATCAATTTTTTATAATTAATTATGTATTACTATTTTATTGATTTATATATATATATATATATATATATGTAGAAATATTAAATTTTTATTATATGTTATTACTCGTGTATGATTAAGCTGGGTACATTTTCAAGAACTTATATATGTCCATGACCAAAACTTGGAAAAATTAAGTTTGTTTACACTCTGAATTTTGTTGTTGTCATTTTATTTAGTAAGTCAGGTTTTATTTACAAAGATTAATTACATATATAAAGTTTATGGTGCATACTTCTGATATTTGCTAATTATGCGCTTGCATTTATCATAGGATGTGAAGAACATAACAATTAATTAAAATGATTAAACAATCCCATAATATTCACGCAGAGATTAAACTTAAAATCAATCATATCTAAAATCACATGTTTAAGAAAGTTAATATATTTTTAATCGATCAAATTTGACGCAAAAATAAAATTCATTTTTGTTTTGAAATTTTGATAATCATTTTAATTAAATTATGTTAAATTTTGTTTACATGTCAAATGCAACACATTTTCTATCTGACGCTAGTACAGGTGGAGGATATAGCACCGGTTAAAATTGGTTATAGACACCGGTTGTGCAACCGGTGCATAACCAGACGAGGTAAAAAAACGTAGGTTTTATGCCTCGGTCATGAACCGAGACAAAAATGGTAAGATTATGTCCCGAATTTTAGATAACCGAGGCCGTAACACTATTTTTTTTTTTTAAATTTAGGTAACCCAGTTCAGTTCAAGTTCAGTTCATGCAGGAGGATTTGGTGACCGAGATTCACAAAAATGCAACTGCAAGAAGAAAAAATCAAAGCAACAGAAACGTGGTTTTGGCACTTCTTTTTCTTCACCAAATGTTTCTAGCATGAGAGTAAGTAACCCAGAACCCAGAAGCGCAACCCATAACCCAGAACAGCAACCCAGAACAGCAACCCAGAACAACAACATACAAACCAAAACAACAACCCAGAACCACCATAACAGCAACCCAAATCGTGCCTCCATGATTCAATCTTCTCCACCTCAACCTGCACACAGAACCCAGAAACTCAAAAATCGGAGAAACGAAACTCAAATTGCAGCTACCAAACTCAAATCGTAGAAGCCAAACTCAAATCGAAGAAACCAAACTCAAATCACAGAAACTCAAACGGTAGGAGAGAAAACAGAGATGGTGAGGGAGATCGAGGAATTGTCGCTGCCGCCGCGTCCTCGTCGTCGCCGCGTCCACCATCGTTTCTCTCTCGCCGAAAACCACCGATCTCGCGGCTGTGCTGGCTGTGTGGGTGCCGTGACCGTCATCGTCGCGAGGGGATCTAGACTCAAGGACGTTGGGGTCGTTGTCGCCCGTCGGAGATCTCGTCCATGGAGTGGGACGAGACCGCACTCGGAGAAGGCGATGTCGTCGGTGGAGCGGTATGGGACGAGGCCGCAGTCGGAGTAGATGATGCCGCCGGTGGAATGGTCAAGAAAGAGACTGGACGACGTGAGAAAGCGATGGAGGGAGAGGGAGGGAGGGAGTCAGATCTGGAGGAAGAAGGAAAGGAGGGAGAGCGAGGGAGCGAGGGTGGGAGTCAGATCTGGAAGAGGGAGGGAGGGAGTCAGATCTGGAGGAAGAAGGAAAGGAGGGAGAGTGAGGGAGCGAGGGTGGGAGTCGGATCTGGAGGAAGAAGGAAATGAAAGGTTACGTTTTTTTTGGTTAAGATACGTGCACATATGACTCGGTTCTCTGCTCGCCCGAAACAATACATGCATATAAGTCTCGGTTCTACACCTGATCGAGGCATATAGTCCTCAGAAAAAAATGAAAAAAAAAATATAAAATGATTATATACCTCGGTTTCCGTTTAAACCGAGGCATAAATACTATTTCGTACTGGTTCTGAACGAACCGAAGCCATATGCTCTGCACAGGTGGGCTTTTAGGCTTCGGTCGTTGCTTTAACCGAGGTAATATGACTTATATGCTTTGGTTGATTTTGAACCGGGACGTATAAGTTCGCTTAAACTACAAAAATGCCACCGCATTTTGATAGGCTTCGGTTTCACCTAAACCGGTGCCTATAACGCGAGTTTAAAAACAGTTTTTTTACTAGTGTGATATTGTGATATTGAAATCAGAACATATCAAATGATATAAACAACATTAAATGTCTTTAAAAAAATTTAACTTAATTAGATTTAAAGAATTATATGCATTATTTTTTAAGTTTATGGACTGAAATGAATCAAAGTTTTGGAAAAAAAATTCAATATTCAAGTTAAATTCAAGAATTAAAAATATATTTAATCTTTTAAAAAATATATAATTTACTAATAACAATAATTAATTTATTGTTTTTAAAGTAAACTAATGAAAATGTGTTCATTGTTATTATTATAATTATAGAATTAAATATAAATAATTTTTATAATTTTATTATTCATAGTTTATATTTATTTTATAGGTAATTTTTTAATTAAAGATGGATAAGTTTAATCAAGAGTCAAGTTTAAAAAATTGGATAAATTAAGAAAATCATTTAAAAGATAAAATTGGTAAAATAATTATTTTAATTTAAAAAATATATTTTAAAAATAAAATAGTAATTATTGATGGCAAACTAATAAGAAAACTTGTTAATAATTATTGATGGTAAAAAATTTGTCAATAATTATTCATCGATTATTAATGGATTTTGACCATGAATAAAATTTATCAATTATAAATATTTTTGGATAATTGGTGATAAATTTTTTTCATCACCAGTTAATATCGCAAAATGTTATTCTCTCTTCATTCTTTTATTTTTTTTTTCTTTTTCCTCCTTATTCTCTTGATCTTCTTTATCACCGCCATTATTGTTGAGTTTTGTCATGGTGGGATCCATTGTCACTCATGCTATACATATATGTTGTCTTTGACTCCTCCTCCTCTATCACGCTAGTCGTCGTCTATGTACATAAAATTCATTACGGATAATTGGTACCCGAATAGATATCTACAAATAGCAGGTAATTTAGTTCCTAATCATTAACGAATCGGGTTCGAATAGTCATATTACCTATACACGGAGGTATCTCCTACTCCTTAGTGGAATGAAATTACATTTTTATCTTTATTAAGTTTAAATTGATGTTAAGATTTTATTCAGAGATGTATCTTTTCTAGTAATATTCAAGAAAGCACCTTCAATCAATTAAAGATATTTCAGAAAATAGAAATAAAAAATCATAGTAACATATACATATAATTGGTAGTTTTACTTGAATAAACATATAAACCCCTTTTTTTTCTTCATCAAACTCATTTATTAGATAATATAGAAATTGGAGAGATGTAGATAGACCCTTATGCTTCCTCGTCAAACTCATTCATTAAACCGTATAAGAATTGGAAAGTAACAGTGTTCACATATCTCATCCTACATACAGTGTGACATTTACACTTTATTTTCAAATTTATCTTCTCCTTCAAAATTCTACTATTTGGTGTTTGAAACATTTTAGCTTTTTTTTGAGATTATTGTAAGTCAAAATTATTTAAGACTTAATGATAGTTTTGTTCATTTTTATTATCTTCATTTCTTATAAATTAAGTTGGATCTCTTTTAAAAACTCATAAAATATATTTTTTAAATATTTGTGGATTGAAAGAAATCCGTGAGTTTTTTTATACGGGTATCCGACAAGTCGCAGGATAGTTAACAAGTACAATTTTTTCATACGGGTCAGGTAGCTAGTAGGCATTATTAGTACCAGACCGGATCTGTTGCCATCCTTAGTGTCAATGTTTGTTGTCAGTGTCTCCTCTTTCTCTTCTTCCTCCTCTTTCTCGTATTTTTCATCCTTCTTTTCTTGTTTCTCTCTTTTTCTTCTCAATTATCTCTATTTAATTTATAATAAATATTGTAACAAATATGACGAGAAAATTTACATTCACTTTGTCGACATATTTATCGACATATTTATTGATAAATTTTAAAAAGTACCATTACTTACTAATTTTTGAAAATTCAATTATTACAAGCTTACAGATAAAATTTTAAAAACTTAAATTATTGACGAGTTTATTGACAAATTAAAATAAAAATATATTACAAACAAATTTTACCATAACATATGATAAAAATATAGAGCAGAACTTTAACATCCATTTACCAAAGAAATATATTGATGGAAATTTTTATTACTAATAAATTTGAAATTAGTAAAAGATATTACTAAGGAATATATTATTAACGGATCTATTACGAAAGATAATTTTTGTTTTACAAATGAATGTTTTTATGTTATTAAAATTTATCTGTAAATACTATTTTAGTAATGATTTTTTCATTGGTAGAATTTTATTGATAATATGATTTTCTTTAATGTTGTTTCCTTCAGTTTTAGTATTGTCCTTTTATTATTTATTCTACCTTTGATTGGATGCATAAACCAATTTCTGAAAGGACAATCCAATTATTATGTTATTTAATAAAATATATGTCTTTTATTATTATCTAAATATAATAGGGATTTTCTAGTAATTTTTTAGGAAAAATAGGAGGACATTCCAATATTATTTTCCTATGTAAAAACATTTGTTGTTATTTTTTTTATCAACAAAAATATTTTATTAAATGGAGTATCCGGATGTTTAAATAATATGCACTTAAATACATTAAATATATTATCTTTATTTTTTACTTTTAGTTTATTTATTATTATTCTTTATTTTTATTTTG